TTTTTTCGGAACCGGGGATCGAACTCAGGCCCTTGCACTTGCCAGGGAAGCACTTATTCTACTGAGCCATCTCCCTGACGCCCCAGTAACATTTTAGATAATAATTTTCAATATCTATCAATTATGTCCTAATGCAAGAAAATTTCAAGCTTTATCTTCTTAAAATTATTTTTAAAACTTTGTTTTCAAATATAAAACTATGATACTAAACATGCTTTTCTAAGTTATGTTCTATCCTATCATTATTCTAAGCCATATACCTCTAGGCCTATATTGAACAACATAGGAACCATTACCAATATACCTGCTATGATTTTTTACCCATATCATAAAAGGCTGAACTCTCTAATATATCAATTATCCCTATAAATAAGAAAAAAGGAACACCCCAACAGAAACTGGTAATGACATTTGGACATTTAAAGAAATATTCAATCTCAATCTCTGGAGTACCAATGAAAGCAACACTGAGGTACCCTATCTTAGCAATCACCATGGCAAAGACCAGTGAGTTGAATATAAAACTTATCTTTACATTTCACTGGTAGCAGTGTAAATGGATAAGGTATTTTTGCAGAACAACTGCATAAAATCTATTAACAGCATAAATGCAAATGAAGGACTCTTGTTTAAATGTAGATTGTTGTTCATGTTAGACCTGAAATTCTGCATTTTGAAGCTGCCCTGCAATCACAGCATTGATTTAGCTAATACCTGTTTGAATTTCAAAGGTTAATCATTTGGTTAATACCTCAGTTTGAAATTCAAGGGTCCATTTAATTAAAATGTAAAACTTTTCAACATTCAGAGTTTTCCATTTGTTAACTTCATTATGTTTAGAAATGCCTAGCAGATTAGTAGAACAGACTCTGGGGTATGCCTGGGTGGGTGGTAGCAGAATGGCCTTGGGTACTATATGTTCTCCCTTGCTCATTCCTCTCTGGCACTGTTCCCTGCTCTGCTTTCCATGTCATGAAGAGTGTTTCTCCATCCAACACTTCTATCAAGACATTTCTACCATCAAGCCAGCCAGGCATGAACTGCATCCTCTCAACTCTGAGGCAAATTAAAACTCTCCTTTAAGTTGTGCCTGTCAGGTACTGTGTCTCAGTGACAGAAAGCTGACTAATACAGAAGACTGGTACTAAGAATAAGGTTACTGCTGCGATCCAACCTGGCCATGTAGTTTAGAAACCTTTGGAACTGGTTTATGGGAAGAGTTTGGAGACATGGGCTAGAGAAGGATTTGAGTGATATGAGCAGCTCCTGATGGGGGATTCTGGCCAGAGCATAGAAGCCCAGAATGTTAACAGAATATGAACAGTAAAGACCACCCTCAGGGGATTTCAGGTGGAAACAAGTCATCCATTGGCATTTGGACTAGATGTGATTTGTGTTATTCTCTGGCAAAAAGTCTGTCCACATTTTCCCTATATCCTGAGATTTGGTGGGAGTCTAAGGTTAAAGACAGTGCACTAATTAATCTGGAGGAGGTAATTTCAAGACAGTTTAACATTCAGGCTGTGGCACGGAGATTGCTGATTGCTTAGCCAGATTTATAACAAGAATTGGAGACAAAAGGCAGAGCAGAAAAACTTGAACACTTACATTCTGGCCAAGAAAGAACCACGTGTGAAGTTGGGATCAAAGGAGGTTTGGCTGCTAAAGAGATTAGTGCCATTAAAAACAAAAAAACAAAACAAAATACTTTATAGGAGGGAAAAAAAGATGCCTTGAAAGCATGAATCAGCAAGACACCCAAGACTCCAACAGTACAAAAGCATCACCCTTTCTTTTGACAGAATACCTGGGACTCTTGCATGCTTGAATGCTCAAGGGCTCCTAGGGAACTGGTTCCTTCGGATTCATTTTACCTTGCTCACCATCCTGGCAGCACTTAAGAGGCACTGAGTCCATGATTGAAGGAAGCCTACCTACTCTTCCTATGGAAAGCAGACACTGGCATCATCCATGTGATCCTGGTTTTACAGATGGGCAGAAAGCAAGAGTCGTGACAGTAGGGTTTTCACAAAGATTGCAAAGGCCAGGCAGAGAGTCGTGGTACAGTAGTGACCTCAGGAAGTCAGAGATGACAGCAATGTGGAGCGTCAGCTGAAAAAAGCTAAATCTGTCATGGAGCTAGTCCTGAACAGTCACCTTGTGGGCTGCAATCAACAAAGCCATAGAAGTTTCTGGGTGTTGTTGCACAATCTGTAATCCCAGCACTCAGGAGGTTAAGGCAAGAAGTTCACTTCAAGTTTAAAGCCAACCTGGTCTACACAATCAGATCTTGTCTTAAAAAAGCAAGGCCATAGGGGTGGGGTCACATTTACCACTTTGTGTCCCAGATGCTGCATATGCAGCTATACAATTTAATGTTTTTCCTGCTGGTTTTTGGTCTTGTCTCTGCTTTCTTTGCTACCATCCCCCACCATTCCTTGCTTTTGAAATGGGAATGCTTACCTCCATGCCATCTATACCTTGGTGTCTTACTTTTCTCATTTCTAAGACAAAATAACAGACATCCGGTTTGTTTGTTTTTTATTTTAAAGAGGACAAAAAACAAAAACAAATACCAAGAACAAAGATACAAACACAAAACAATACAAATGGTACAGAATTTCAAAACAAGAATAGAAAACTAAAATGGTTATTATATAACATATTATCATCAAATTTCTTGCTCAGATTGCCAGATATAGGTATGCAAGATTAATCAAACATTAATGAAACATTAACTCTTCCTTTCAATAAACCTTAATTTTTTATTGTCCTTTTTATTTTTTAAATTTATTTTAAAGAGTATGATAAAAAGAGATGTGACATTAGACAACAGACATTTAAAAGAACAAGATGAAAGGTATTCCACCATGGTTGTTATACTTCACATTACTGTCCTCAATGTAGTTGCTCAGATTACAGATACTAGCATATAGTTAAAGTAGAAAATGTAAACATTAACTCCTACTTTCAAAAAACTGACAGAAATTAGTAGTACAATCATCTCAGCTATCCTGTATATATACTTAGATGATTTCCCCCTTCCTTTTTTTCTCCTATCTTTTCTCCTCAACTCCACTGTTTATTTCTTATGTTTACTTTCTTTCCATTTTACTTGATCTATTGTACCTTTCAGATTTTATTTACTCTTTCAGGTTTTTATTTACTCCTTCAGGCTTTCAACGGTAGGGAGAAAATACAATGTTCACATAAGTGGGCATAATTTATTTCGCAGATGAGTATAGCCTCTAGCTGTATCCATTTACCTATAAAAGCCTCAAGTTTATCTTTCTTTATAGCTTGTATAAAAATACCACATCTTTTTGTCCATTCAAGTAATGGGCATTGGGGTTATTCCCAATGATATATACCCGATATATCACTGTGGTACATTTTCAATTCTTTTGAAAAAATACCCAGAAGGGGAATAGCTTGGTTGAATGGGATTTCCAAATCTAGATTTTTGAGGAGTCTCCACACTGCTTTCCATAATGGTTATACCAGTCTACATTCCCACCAACAGCGGAAAAGGGTTTTTTCTCTCCAGCATTTGTTATTACTTGATTTCTTTATGGTAGCCATTCTTTCTGGAGTGAGATGGTATTTCAGTGTTGTTTTAATTTGCATTTCTTGAATGACCAGTGTTATGTAATATTTTTTCATGTATTTATTTTCCATTTGTATTTCTTCCTCTGAGAAGTGTATATTCATCTCAGATGCCCATTTTTGAATTGGGTCTTTGAATTTTGAGGTCCTGATATTTTTTAGTTTTTTTATTATTTTAGATAGAAGTCCTTTGTCTGAGTGACTGTTGGTTAAGATTTTTTTCCCCAATTTAGAGGTTGTCTTTTCACTTGGGTTGGTGATTTCTTTTGACATGCAGAAACTTCTCAGTAAGAAGAGATCCTAGTTGTTGATTCTTTGAAGTATTTCCCATGTAGTTTGGTTTTTTTCATGAATTCTCTGCCTACCCCTATGTCTTTAAGATTTCCAGCTACTTTCTCTTCTAGTAGATTTAGTGTTTCTGTTTCAATGTTTAGATATTTAATCCATTCTGACTTTAGTTTAGTGTGTGGTGATACATCTGGGTCTAGTTTTAGTGTTCAAATTGTAGAGAGCCAGTTTTTCCAGCTTCATTTGTTAAAGAGGCTATCTTTCTCCCAGGGAACATGTTTGGCCCCTTTGTCAAAGATAAGATGGCTGAAGATGTTTGTAGCTGCAGACACCCAAAGTTAAAGGAGAAAAAGGTTATTTGGCTCACAGTTTGTAGAGGTTTTGGTTCATAGTTCTCTGGCTCCAAGACAGGGGTAGCGTGACAGAGGGCCATCGTAGAGAAGAAACAGTTTATGGCAGGCAGATGGCAGCAAGCAACAAGCTACAAGTGATCCTCTTTTTGTCCCTTATACCCAGGCTACACATCCTTAGGGTGGGAAACACGCACACCCAGGATGGGCCTTTTCAACATCCACACTCAAAACTATGCCAATCCAAACAGTGGACTAATATAATTTTCACATACCTTTAATCCTATCATCACACACACACTTGGATCTAGCCACTTCTGAAAAGAAGTGAATAAGGTTTTGGGGGACATCTAGATACAAACCACAACACTTGGAACTATGTAATTTCGTTTTTTAAGTTTTACAGAAGTTTATTAACAGTTTTCCTTGAGCCTCAGAAGGGAGTTGAACTTAGAATTTGAAAAAAACAAAGAAAAGAAACTATTGAAACTCTGAAGAAGGAATTACTGCATTTCTTGTTGTATATGGGCTAGCTATATCATAGTACATG